AAACATCCACATCTGCCTATCCCAGGTCCTGGGTAAGGACTCCATAGGTAGACAAAATGCCAAATCCAGTCTGAACATCTGGCTGATTGTGCGATGATCCATAATAATAATAATAACAACAAAGTTAGAAGGAACCTTGGAGGTCATCTAGTCCAACCCCCTGCTCAGGCAGGAAGCCCTATCATTTCAGACAAATGGCTGTCCAATCTCTTCTTTAAAACTTCCAGTATTGGAGCATTCACAGCTTCTGGAGACAGGTTGTTCCACTAGGTTAATTGTTCTGTCAGGAAGTTTCTCCTTAGTTCTAGGTTGTTTCTCTCCTTGATTAGTTTCCATCTGTTGCTTCTTGTCCTGCCTTCAGGCGCTTTGGAGAATAGCTTGACTCCCTCTTCTTTGTGGCAGCCCCTGAGATATTGGAACATGCTATCATGTTATATATGTTTTAGCCTCCAGTCCCCTAATCATCTTTGTTGCCCTTCTCTGTACTCTTTCTAGAGTCTCAACATCTTTTTTACATTGTGGTGACCAAAACTGTATGCAGTATTCCAAGCGTGGCCTTACCAAGGCATTGTAAAGTGGTATTAATACTTCACGTGATCTTGATTCTATCCCTCTGTTAATGCAGCCTAGCACTGTGTTGGCTTTTTTGGCAGCTGCAGCACACTGCTGGCTCATATTTAAGTGATTGTCCACTAGGACTCTGAGATCTCTCTCACAGTTACTACTATTGAGCAAGGTACTCTCTATACTATACCTGTACGTTTAGTTTTTCTTGCTTAAATGTACTGTAGAATCTTACTTTTTTCACCACTGAATCTCATTTCGTTAGTTAGTGCCCAGTGTTCAAGTCTGTCCAGATACTCTGTATCTTAAGCCTGTCTTCTGAAGTGTTGGCTATTCTTGTCAGCTTGGTATCATCTGCAAATTTGATGAGTTCCCCATTTATCCCCCCGTCCAAATCGTTGAGGAAGATGTTGAAGAGCACTGGGCCTAGAACAGAGACCTGGGGCACCCCACTATAGACTTCCTTCCATGTAGAAGCAGTTCCATTGAGGACCACACACTGAGTATGGCTAGTCAGGCATCTACAAATCCATCTGGTGATGCTGTCTAATCCACATTTTTCTATCTTATCAAGTAGTAGGTTGTGATCTATTTTATCAAATGCTTACTGAAGTCCAAAGAAATTATATCCACAGCATTCCTCTGATCCACTAATTTTGTCACTTGGTCGAAGAATGCAATAAGATTTGTCTGGCATGATCTGTTTTCGACAAACCCATGTGGGCTTTCAGTAATGACTTTGTTTGCCTCTAGGTGTTCGTTGATTCGTTGTTTGATTATCTTTTCCAGAATCTTCCCAGGTATTGAGATCAGGCTGACAGGTGTGTAATTTCCTGGATCCATTTTTTTTTCCTTTTTTGAATATAGGAACTAAATCAGCTCTTTTCCAGTCCTCTGGTAATTCCCCAGTGCTCCAGGATCTTTGAAAGATATAGTTCAGTAGTTCTGAGACCACATCTGCCAGTTCCTTGAGATCCTTGGAGTGTAATCCATCTGGTCCTGGTGATCTGAACTCGTCTACGCTGGACAGGTGCTCACTCTTTCCCCCTTTTTTCTATAAAGCTTTATCTTATTTATACCAGTGAGGCTGATCTATCTACCAAAAGCAGAGGATTGATTTCTATAGTCCCACTGCCAGTAAAATGCAGATTGTGGAAGTCCTCTCTCTCCCCCTTGTGGGGATTGGGATAGATGGTGGTAGCAGTAACTAGCAAATCATTTCACCAAGGCAGAAGTATGACTGGGGTGTGTAGATGCAGAGTGTTTCTGAGAAAAAACAGAAGCTGGAGACCTCCAGCCTTTCACACTCTAGACTCAGCCCTGCTTTTACAACCAACTCTGCTTTGCATCTAGTCTAATTCACCATTTTATTAGCAAACGATCTCAGGACTTCTCTACAGATATAACAGTCATAATTGTTGGAATCACAGTAATAACTGACCTATTTTAAAAATAAACCATTAAAAAACCCATTTTGTGGGCCTGCAGTTCTGTGTAAAACTCACACAAAAGTCTTAGCCACCATTCACATAAGATTTCTATAACAATAATTTCCTTGCAAGTATTCACAATAGCATTCAACCATAACTTTAGCGCTAAAACTAATTATACTCTCCTAATGGTAAGAATGCAGTAAAAGTGCTACACTCAATTTGCCAGCAAATTTGGAAAACTCAACAGTGGCCACAGGATTGGAAAAGGTCAGTTTACATTCCAATTCCAAAGAAAGGCAATGCCAAAGAATGTTCAAACTATCGCACCATTGCACTCATTTCACATGCTAGTAAAGTTATGCTTAAAATCCTACAAGCTAGACTCCAGCAGTATGTGGATCGAGAACTACCAGAAGTACAGGCAGGATTTCGAAGAGGCAGAGGAACTAGAGATCAAATTGCCAACATACGCTGGATCATGGAGAAAGCTAGGGAGTTCCAGAAAAACATCTACTTCTGCTTCATTGACTATGCAAAAGCCTTTGATTGTGTGGATCACAACAAATTGTGGCAAGTTCTTAAAGAGATGGGAATACCAGACCATCTTATTTGTCTCTTGAGAAACCTATATGCGGGTCAAGAAGCAACAGTGAGAACTGGACACGGAACCACTGATCGGTTCAAAATTGGACAAGGAGTCCGGCAAGGCTGTATACTGTCGCCCTGCCTATTTAACTTACATGCAGAGCACATCATGAGAAAAGCAGGGCTAGATGAAACAAAAGTTGGAATTAAGATTGCTGGGAGAAATATCAATAACCTAAGATATGCAGATGATACCATCTAATGGCAGAAAGTGAAGAGGAACTAAAGAGCCTCTTGATGCGGGTGAAGAAGGAGAGTGCAAAAGTTGGCTTGAAACTCAACATTAAGAAAACCAAAATCATGGCATCCGGCCCTCTCAATTCCTGGCAAATAGATGGGGAAGAAATGGAGGTAGTGACAGATTTTATTTTTCTGGGCTCCAAGATCACCTCAGATGGGGACTGAAGCCAAGAAATTAAAAGACGTTTGCTCCTGGGGAGGAAAGCTATGGCAAATCTAGACAGCATACTAAAAAGCAGAGACATCACCCTGCCAACAAAGTGCGTATAGTCCAGGCCATGGTTTTCCCAGTTGCAATGTATGGCTTTGAAAGTTGGACCATAAGAAAGGCTGAGCGCCAAAGAATTGAGGCCTTTGAACTATGGTGCTGTTGAAGACTCCTACGAGTCCCTTGGACTGCAAGGCATTCAAACCGGTCAGTCCTAGAAGAGATCAACCCCAACTGCTCTTTAGAAGGCCAGATCCTGAAGTTGAAACTCAAATACTTTGGCCACCTAATGAGAAGGAAGAACTCGCTGGAGAAGGGCCTAATGCTGGGAAAGATTGAGGGCAATAGAAGAAAGGGACGACAGAGAATGAGATGGCTGGATGGAGTCACTGAAGCAGTAGGTGTGAACTTAAATGGACTCCAGAAAATGGTAGAGGACAGGAAGACCTGGAGGAACGTTGTCCATGGGGTCGCGATGGGTCGGACACAACTTCGCAATTAACAACAATTAACAATAACAATAGTAAGAAGTTTACAAAAATCTAAATATCAATTATAGTAAAATGTTCAAGATTAGAACTAGCCCATAAAATGTATGAAAATATTTTAAGCCTATAACCTATACTGGCAGGTATAATCAAAGTTGCTAGAGAGCTTTATAAAAAAACTGTTGGGACATACATCTGCCTCAGTTGTGTGCAATGTGTGACGTATTCCTAAAGCACTGAATCTCAAATTAGTATTTTTTCAATTTAATAAAAATCTAAAGCATATTGCCCAAAGCCATGAGTCTGAACACTAAATCAAAAATCAGTATATTTTATTTTAGATGAAAAACATGTGAAACACATCATTATGAATGTCATGTCTTCTGCACTCAAATATTTTAAACTAGATCTTCTTCCATTTGAACTTATTCTGCCCATGAAGGATGGGCAGGACTAGAAGGGGAAAATGTAATTCAGAATATATGTGGGTGCAAATGCTGTCCTGTCTGAAGTATTTTAAACCAAAGTTGTCTTTTCCCAAGATTATGCAGTAGTTCCTCAACAAGGCTCTATGAGTCTTGAAGAACTGCTATTAAATGTTCTTGAGAAGCTGTTCATGCATGTCCACATAAAACTCCAAATTTATTTTTTGTTTTAAACTTGGATTTCTGTACAGGTCTGCTACCTATATTTTTGCAGATTTTTTTTCTCCCAACTGAAGTAATTAAGTTATTAACTCTTTAACATTCCATAGTTTCACATAATCAATAAAATAGAAATAAGATAGGGGTCTTTTTTGGCCTTAATGTACAATATCAGTAACATAAGAAGCTCTCCAAATTCTAAAATTTACTTCAGAGATATTCCTTCAAACTTATTCACCTCTAGGAAGAATAAATTATGACTGATGGAAGTCCCATTTTATGGAATCTCTCTTCATAACTAGATAAGAGATACATCAATAATTGTGTCTTTCCAACAAGAATGCATTATTCTCTAAGTGACCAATTCCTTGAGTGCCTTAGTAAGTATTCCTTGAGTGTGTAGTAAGTATTTGATTTTTTTTAAACAGTATTACTTCTTTGTTAGACTTTCAGTCTTTCATTCAGAAGTTCAGCAAGGAACATGTAGCATTTCCTCTTTCAAGTTTTCCCAACTACCCTGTGAAGTAGGATTAAGCTCAGAGTGTCTGCCCCAAATTCACCCAATGAGAGTCTGAGGCTGAGAACAACTTACAAACTAGGTCTTCCCACTGGAAGTCCAATGCTCCATCACTACACTGCCCTGGCTTTTTTATTGTTTGCAGAAGATATTGTTTGTTATAACCCAATTAAGAACTTCTTTAAACAAAGAAGCAAGTAACAGAAGTTGAAAACAAATATAATTATCTGTGTAAAAATGAATTAAAAACCAACAATTTACCTTGGACAACAACCTGACTCCCAGGTACAAAGAACTGTTGGGTGCCATCAGGTGTTTGAGCTGCATATTGCACAATTGTGGCACCAGGTTGAGGAGCTCCTGAATTTGTCATGGTTAATGTTTGTAATCCTTGAACACCATCAGATGCTGGATTAGAGATCTGGATTGTTCCACCTTGGGCTATAGCAACTTAAGCAAAAATAAATACTACATAAGATATTCGCAACAGAGATGAAAACCCTTTAAGTTAATTACTCCCAAAGAGTGTTTAAGGGTTAGGATGATATGAATTACCAATGCCCAGCATGAAACTGGATACAAACACATAAACCAGTCTCCAAAACTGACTCAGAATGCCTATTATTTGAGGCAACACAAATAATTTTTCACAACCTTTTGCAATTAGATTTCATTTTAAATAAATTGAGCACTGAATTCATAGAAATTTTGAAAATCACTGACAGGAAGGAGGAAGGGAGACTATTTAGATTCACCTTCCATATTGTTCAACATCTTGAAGATCCTCCTGATATTTACAGCAAATATTCTAGGGAGGAGTTTCCTTACATCTTACTTTTTTTGTTTGTTTGTTTTAACTCACTGTTTATTAATATATGCTCCATTTAAAACTATGGAGCAAGTACTAATTTTTCTTCTGCTAAGTTGTACAGGAAGATCTCAACCTGCGAACATTCACTTATGACCATTCATGGTTATGATAGCATTGGAAAAAAAGTGACTTGCAACTGGTCTCTGCAATAAAAAATGGAATGCTTTGCAACTACCATATATTTGCAACAGTTACGGTGCCCCGAGGCCATTTAATTGTCATTTGCAACCTTCCCAACCAGCTTCCAACAAGCAAAGACAACTGGAGATGGAAGCTGTAACAAGATTCACTTAATGAGTATGTGATTCACTTAACTGCAATGATTTGTTTAAAAATTGGAGAAAAAAAAGTTGTAAAATCAGGTGTTATTCACTTAATAACTGTCTCCCTGTCTCAAAGTTCCAATCCCGGTTATGGTCATAAATTGAGGAATACCTTGTATCATGAAATTATGATAGGAAACACTGAGTTTCTGGTGATAAAGGGACACTCTAGAGACATTCACAGAAAGAACTGACAGCCAAAAACATGATGTAAAAACTAGGTAGTTTTTCCAAATTCCATTTAATTGCATAATTATTATATCCTAGAATAGGTTATTATAGTTCAGCAGTAGGCAAACTTGCCATGCTTGGCAACCTTAAAATGTGTGGATGTCTACTCCCAGAATACCCCAGCCAGTATGAATTCTGCAAGTTCATACCTCTTAAAGTTGCCATGTTTGAAAAACACAGGCCTATAGCCTGTTTGGGATTACATCTTAACCACAAATAAAAGGCTGTCGAAAATGTGTCTTTATTGGAGATATTTACACAAATATGTCATATGTTCCATAGCCTCTGATTAAAAGTTCTAAAACTAAATGCATGAAGAAACATCAGTAAAAGATGAAAAAAACCCACATAGGAATACTATCTAACAGGGACATTTCTATTTAAGTTATAACCTATCTACGAGTTTATTAAAATAAATCGTAACAAGGAAAGCTGCATCCTGGTTCCAGACCTTATAAGACGTTTTCTTTTAATCTTTTTTCCTGCTATCATTTGTTGCTTAATTTTATTACTTTTCAAAATTGTAATTTCCCTTTTAAGAACAACAGATTATTAAACAGGCAGCCTAATATTGCAGAAGACCTACTGTACTGCCCGGTGCTAGTCTGATAAAGGCTGGTTGGCACGGCCATGGCAGGGATTCCAGAGGCTGCTCCTTCTTCCTCTGGTTTTCCTTCTTCAATCTTAGCAACGCCAGGTGCATCAGAAGAAAGCTCATTCAGAATTTTTCTGCCAGGAATAAATAAATGTTTAAAGAAATATTTTTAAAGATGTTGACCTATGCCATAATGAGTGAAATAGCATAAATAAACATAAAAACTTTTATATTACCGATACGAAGGCCTCCTTGAAAGTATCTCCCTCCGCTTCTGAGAATCAATTACCACCTCTGTTTCGGTAGATTCATCTGTATTTGTAGCTGGTGCTACCTAATTTTTTAAAAATAATCATTTTAGGTATTAAATCTTATGGCCCTTTACATGCAAACAAAAATTTAGTAAGCTGGAATTCTAGAAAGTTTCTTACAATAGTCGGCAATTTCCACTGTATGGAATCCTGATTTCTATTGTAAGATCTAATGTTAATACTCTATTTCATGGAATTTTATTTATTTATTCCATTTCTATCCCACTGCAATATAAGCAACTTTTGATTACTATGACACTATTTTGTAAATTTAAGAGTCTTAAAAAGTACAAACAAATGCAGCAGTTTTGAAGAATTTATTCAAAAATTGAATGTATGTTGACTTGTTTCAAATCTCATTCACAGTTCTGTCCATGCTACTACTTCTACATTCTTGCTATGTTAATAAGGAGCCATTCCACCTATTATATGAACTGTTATCAATTTTTCTATACACATACACACACACACACACAGAGAGACGCCCTGAAGGAAAGAAATGGCAGTGACAACCAAATGGAATGGAGGGAGGGGGAGGAAAAAAAGGAAACTATAGAAAGCAAAGAAAGAGAGAGGGAGATAAAACATAGTCAACAAAGTCAGGAAGTTTTAGAAGTTAAATTTGGAAGTAGATGAGTAAACAGGCCTGATTAATGCATCATGCTCACGCACACAAACACAAACTAGTTTGGTTTTGACTCAGGGTCAAAAACAAACCAATCCCATGAAAGAAACCATTGTTATCAATTGTATCAACAATGGTACAATTCAGAACAACAAAACCAATGAATAATCCACATTTTGACTTACTATGTCAAAACCTGACTGTAAGCATCTAACCAAAACAGCAGGGTTATTAATGGGTAGGCATGAAAGAGGATTACAAAAGAAGCTACAAATTCAAAATTACATTAATTCCAGAATCCAATGGTAATTGCTAGAGATTTTCTTAAGGAGGAGAAATTAAAAGAGCACTCAGGATAACAAATTACAGGTAGTCCTTGACCAGTGATTGTAATGGAATTATGGCCAAAAGTATTTGATAGCCATTAAAGGCAGGGCCCGTGCAATACCCTCACCCAATGATCACCCTCCTCCCATGCAGCTGAGTAGATTTGCAAGCAGTAGGCTTGGGGGAAGTAAACTGAGCTGCAGGCTTGCAAGCGCTCAGAAAAGCAAATTTCTCCATCCCTAGCCCATGTTCCTCTGTTCCAGAAGGGAGCACTATTTTGGAGTAGCCACAATTCACTGTGGCCTCTATGAAAATGGTAGTTACTCTGGAGGACAAGAGCATGTTGCCTACAGACACTGAGCGATAGAACTGCTGCTTCCCCAACCTGAACTCCAGAACTTCCAAAAGGAGATCTACGGTAAAAGATGAGTGATTTGTCGCAGGGATGGGAAAGAGTATGTGGGAAGTAGGCCCAAGGCTTGTGGGGACTCTAAGGGATTTCAAAACCAAATCCTAAGTAGCTTTTGGGGAGGCAACCATTTGTAAGTCAAGGACTACCTATATAAAACAAGAACAATTTTAGTTAAAACATTGTTTTTTCTTATCATTCTCTTCTCTCTATAGATCCCTATCCATCTCTCTGTCCTCCAACTATTTCTCTCTCATTTTTGCTATTCTCATCACACATAAGTTCTATTTATATCCTAGTCTCTGGAATTCATAATTTAACTGTGATTTAATATTAGCAATAGTAGCAATCCCTGACTACACTGAAGAATGCATGTGAGATTTGGTGTCGTAAGTCAAGACTACTGGCAGACAAATGACCAAGGGATACTATGAAGTGATAAAATGTTGACATCAAAAAGTACTTACTACAGTATTTACTGACTGTCCTTCAGATACTGAACATCTGCCCTGAACCAGAAGAACTGAAACATGTTTTATAAAAAAAAGCAAAACTGCATACTTTTTGACACTCTCATCAATATCTATATGAACACATTGTTTCCTGTAATTTGTTCAATTAGATATGGATTAATTTAAAATATTAATAAAATCTGTCTATATAGGAAATTAGGAAAAAGGCAACTACCTAACACTCTCTTCTGATTTGCATTAGTCATATTTTTTTAAAAAGGAACTTGAAACATGTTATCAATTAGGAGGCATGCAAAATGTTTTGAATATCTCCATTCTAAATTCAAAACATATTATACTGTATATATCTATTATATACATCTATTCCCCAAAATCTAACCACCTCTGTTTTTAGAAACCTTTTACAGAAAAGAGAAACACAACACCCCAATTTTCCTAACACAGAGGACTACATACAATTACTGGGTTTCTGCCTTCAAACCTATTTTACTTACAAAGACACTATATATGAGCAAGTAAAAGGCACACCCATGGGGTTACCCATCTCAAGCATCATTGCTGAAGCGATATTACAAGATCTGGAATGTGTGGTAATGACTGATTACCAACCCAGCTTTTGGGTTAGGTACATTGATGACACCTTTGTGGTCATTAAGCGATGTGACACCACCAAATTTTTACAGAAACTAAATTCGGTCCATCCAGACATTCAATTTACAGCAGAAGAAGAGAATAACCTTACCCTTACCCTTCCTGGATGTGTTGGTCCATCGCCTCCCAGATGGCAACCTATCATCCACTGTCTATCGTAAAACCACTCACACCGATAGAATTCTTCACTATCAAAGCAATCATCCCATATCACATAAAGTCAGTTGTATAAGAATATTATTCAAAAGAATCAAGACCCACTGCATCACAGAAACAGCAAAATCTAAAGGCAAAGGATATCTCCTCCGCATATGCAAACAAAATGATTACCTACGTTTCATCAGACGTTGCTGCAAAGATAGGATTCAATCCACAATTCTCCAACTACTACAACTGGGGCAACAATCCTGTATATCAATGGAGTCTCAGAAGCAACTGCCAGGATTCTTGCCCCATACAACATCAACATCGCACACAAACCCAACCAAACATTATGTTGCAAGCTGATGCGACCCAAAGAACCATTTCCAACCAGTGATTTGTCCTCTATTGTATACAAAATCAACTGCAACACATGCCAAAGTAACTACATTGGAGAAACATCAAAAAGACTTAAAACTAGAATACACGAGCATATTCTAGCAGTAAAAAGACAAGAACAACGCTCCCAAGTCTGGACCCATATAGCTGAACATGGCCACACTTTCAACTTTAAAGGAGCAAAAGTCATTGCTCAAGATTCCACCAAAGCAGATCATCTTTTAAAAGAAGCTTGGTTTTCTGACTGTCATTCTATTAACAGACACATCGACCTACTACCACTTTACCAAACCCTAAAAAGACATTTACAACAAGGACAAAGTACCTAAACACTTCAATTCAACCAACAACAACACAAAAACACCACCCCACCCACATACCAAATCCCAAACCAACACGACATCCTTTCATCAAACATAAAGAACTCTAACATAACCACGACAACTCACACAACCAACACACCACCTTATGATATTCTCACACACAGAAACAACAATACCTCTGACCACAACATCCATGACACAAACATACAAAACACAAATCCCACAACCTCACAAGACACTCACACACAACAAACACACACACAAACATACACACACAACACCTAAATAACAATAGAATATTAAGACCAAGACCAAAACTGACCCCTGCAATAAAACATGACTTATCACATTCAATGGAATAAGCTATTGCAGCCCAATTCCAAAATCCCACAAAACCACCCACAACTGACAAACACAACAAACAACCACACACAAACATTCCAAACAATTATACCCAACAAGACATAAACACTCAGCAACCTTGCACTAAAGAAACTATACAATCGAAAAGACTGACTCCTATAACAGTGAAGATTTCACAGCGTCCAAAAAAAGGGGGAGCGAGGGCTGGCAAACCACTTACATGCCCCACGAGGGCATCTGCTTTCTCTCCCTGCAGATCCAGTCCCACAGCACCTGCACGCAAGAGGGCGAGACGAACATCCAAGCTGCATTTCATGGAAGGAATCCAGCCAGCACAAGACTTCATGTGGAGCCCTGAGAACCTCGTGCCAAACAGCTGATAGGCGCGAAGGAGCTTATGTACCTAACAGCTGATAGGCACGACTTTTGAATCTCGGCGGGAGATTGACTGCTGTATACTTGCTGTTATTAATGTGATTTTGTGAACAAGCTTCTTAAGCACGCTATGTACACATGTGAGGTGGTCTCCCATGGAGAATGAGACACGCACGCAGCAGGTATCTCGGGATGGGAGCCCAGAGCTGACTCCAGCACCCTCTTTTATTGTTACTAAGGTTTTTACATCACACAGCGTAATCAAAAGACATATATAGGGGTGGTTACAATGTATCAAATAACAGACACTTTCCAGATGCAAGGCTACTGCAGGTGTTCTTATCAGAGTCTGTCCAAATGGTTGATGAATGCATCCTGTGTCTAGAGTGGTCCGTTTGTTATCTCAAGGACCTTGTGGGAGATGTCCATGGGCATTTGTGCAATTAATCCCACATCTCCTCCTTTTCTGTTTTTTCTTTAATGTTACTCACTTCCAGTTCCAGAAGGGATCTTGATTCACTGATTAAGGCGTCCTTCCTAGTGGAGGGCGTAACATTTTTGCACATTTGCAGGAGGGAGGGAATACATTGAATGCAACAACATAGCAATACAAATAATATCAAAATGGTTACTATAATAGAAATCAAAGATCGTAGCCAGGATCCATCCGGTAGCCAGGACCAAAGGGCACCCCAGATATCCACGGTGCCTGATCCATCGCTGCGTAAGGGATTATTTTGGAGCAAAGATTCCATTTTCCTGGCTGTAGCAGAAATATTAGGTTGAAAATCATGTATATATATACATACAACAATGAGAATGAATTAAAGCACATACACTGCCTTTTGCTGCTAAAATAATATCTAAAGCATTCCGATTTTGCAAAACTACTTCCCTTATTTCCCCCATTTCTTGATTAATCATTTTAATGCTGTTGATTGTTTCATTAAACATATGAACAGTCCAATTGTTAAGCAAATGAAGGTCCCTATAGTTCATGGCAACTCCTAGATTGGGTAGAATCCCTCTGCTGATTTGAGTCTCTAAACTACCATCCAATGTTAGGGGTGGATCCGAGGAACCAGTATCACATTTGTTCCGCAGGCGTCCATCAGGGAGATGAGGCAAGGCATATACAGCAGGAGTCAAAAGGCCCAGTGTACAGGTGCCTTTCCAATCCTTAGGCACCTGGCGATAGGCTCTTCGGCCACATAGTAGCCACATATCGGGTAACTCATAATAACCCTGGTGAGACTCATTAGCAAATGTTATTATGGATTCCATGTCAAGGCAAGCCATGTAGGTACTGATGTTTGTCCATTGATTGCTTTGATAAGTGTCATTTATCTTAGTAAGGTTGCTTTTGATGGATTTGCATTTCTTTGCTGAATTCCATATAATAACTTGTTGACAATTACTATAAGTTCCCAAATAAATGGCAGTACAAAATCTGGCAGGTTCCATTATATGAGCACCCACAGCATATGTCATATTCAATGTCTCTGTAGTTATGCTCCACAGCTGCTTCCATCCTGTTTCATTGAACGGGATGGCATGGAAAATAAGGCCACCACGACTGTCACCAGGAATTTGCATGCAAATCCAACAGTTCGTGACGTTACGTGTAAGAGCAATGCGCCTGGCATCCCGTACAAAAGCATTAAAATCCCACAGTCCCTGATCCTCATATGCCTGGCTGAGGTGGTGTACGTTGAGCCATATAAGGACGAACACAACGAGCTGGAGTCCAAATGATCTCGCCATGGTCGTCTATTGCAGCATAGCCTCGACCCCAAGTAATGAGGGAGGCAGGCCCTTTCCAGGTGGGATCAGGCAAACGTCGATAGTATACCTGGGGGCGTGAAGAATCTGTGGGAGAAGCAGAAAAATGCCTGCTTGCGGCAGTTGAGCCAGGGGTGCCAGAAACATTCAAAAAGTTTAAGGTAAAAAGTACAAGATTAAGAGTGTTTTGTATCCCAGGCAAGCCGGGGGTATTTTCCCCTTTCTTTTTTGCATGCATGTCTAGAGCCTTTTTTACGGTCTGATTGGCTCGTTCCACGATCGCTTGACCAGTGGAGTTATATGGAATGCCAAATTTATGAACAATAGACCAGCGAGAGCAAAACTGCGCAAAGGAGGTGCTGGTATAAGCAGGAGCGTTATCAGTCTTAATTTCTTTTGGATTGCCCAGGGTAGAAAAAGTACGAATACAATGATTAATAACATGTTTAGCAGACTCACCCCTTTGAGGGGTGGCCATAATAAAACCTGAATAGGTGTCAATGGAAACATGCAAATATTTCCAGGGGGCAAATGGCAAATATTGTGTAACATCCATTTGCCAAAGTTGACAGCTCTGCGTCCCTCTTGGGTTGACCCCTTGAGGAACAGAGTGTGCTTGGAGGCTGCAGGTGGGACATTGTTGTATGATAGCTGCAGCCTCCGTAGCTGTTAAAGAAAATTGTTTCATTAAAGCCTTCTTATTTTGATGAAAATATGAATGGCTGTCCCATGGGGTTATGGGAGATAAAACAAGGACAGAAACATCCTGGTGAGTCGAGGCGGCTGAAGCGGCAGCATCCGCCTTGGCATTGTCTTCGGAGATAATACTAGGGAAAGGTTGGTGATTTCTAATATGAGCAGGAAAGAAAACAAGTAGAGCGGGAATGAAGAAGGGATTGGAGTGTGAGAAATAGACTGAGGAGAGAGTCATCCAGTGAGGGTGACACATATGAATCAGATAAAGAGGTGAGAACTTTATATATATAAAGACTATCTAAAATAAGATTAAAAGGTTCAGAAGAAAAAGTTTGTAAGGCCAGAATTGTAGCGGCAAGTTCAGCATGCTGAGCAGAAGTTTGAGGAGGAGTAATTTTTGTGTGCCATTGTTCCCCCTCCTTCCATACACATGAACCATAAGTCTTGCTGCCATCAACATACAGGGTGACAGCGTTAGGAATGGGAGAAGAGGAAATGGGAGAATGCAGAGAAATTGAAACATTATTAAGGAGTTGGAAGCGAGGGTCAGAGGGAATATGACAGGAAACAGATCCTGCCCAGTCAGCAAGAGAAAGCTGCAATACATCTGAAGAGTATAATTGAAGCAAGTGCCTTGGGGTTGATTCCCCTTTTGGACTGCAGCTGCAAGAGTGTCCATTTGAAAAGCATTGGTTCCCACAATGCGACAGGCTTTAAGAAAATCTGCTAAGGTGGCCGTGGGAGTGGAAACAATTGGTTTAAGAATGGACTGGCAGTCTGCATTTGCATATTCATAAGCCAATTTTATGAGGATTTCATTTGCTGCATCTCTGTTTGAAATTTGACGCTCAATGGCAACTTGCAGGCGATTCACAAAGTCTGCATAGGATTCAGTTGCAGTTTGGCGAATGGCAGAAAAAGATTGAATCGGGGTGCCAGACTCATCAACACGAGCCATGGCAGAAAGAACACAAGCATTAATGATAGGAAATGCAAAGGGAGTAAAAGTTTGAGCTTGAGCATTAAGGGTAGCAAAATTGCCTTCTCCAAAGAGTTGTTCTGCTGTTCATTGTGAACCTGGGTGATTAGCTCTCTTTTGTGCCTCTCTTTTATATTCAGATTCAAAAACTACGTATTGCGTTCCGTTAAGAAGCATGCGGAACAGATCTTTCCAATCTTGAGGTAACATTCGATATGCACTAGCAATTGAATGTATTAGTCCTCTAGTATAGGGACTGGTTATGCCATAATCTTTTGTAGCCTTTTTCAATTCTCTGATCATAGCCAGGGGAAGTGTTTCCCAATCAACTACTAAGCCTGTTGCAGTCTGTTGGTAAGTAACAGGGAACAACTCTGTCTCGGATAGTTCAGAAACGCTTAAATCACCATTGTTTAAAGCCTTTTGAAAAGCACCACGGATGATTCCGGGCCGGGAGAGAGGCGGCAACATGGCAGGAACAGGAGAGGCTGTTTGTTGTTTATCAGGATCCATAAAATTTGCAGGGGCAGAAGGAGGGTTAAAACCAGCTCCAGGGGGTAAGGGAGTGGCCAACATAACAGATAGAATTTTATACGGTGGAGGGTCTAATAAAGGCTGATGAGGCGAGTCAGCATGGGTTTGAATCAGGGTATAGGCAATTTTCCAAAGGCACAAAATCTCTGCTGGGGCTCTTGGAGACTGATGGAGAACGGTGCCAATTTTCCTCCATGTATCTACTTTTAAAGATCCAGACTCCGGATAGGATGAGCAGTTAGCCCATACGTAAGCAAGCAATTTTACAGCCTCAGATTTAGAAAGGTGACGGGTTAATTTCTGTTCCTGATCAGTAAGATATTTTTTCCTGCCAAGTAGCCTCAGCTCTTCCACATGCTGCTTTTGAGCGTGAGACATTCCACCCCCCATACTTACGAAGAGGAGTCAGTTGCCAGCAACTTCTTCGGGTGCACCAAGCCTATTCCAGGTGATAAGTAAAGAGTCGGCAGGGACGTATCCCTCAGTGGATCACGTCGGGGTCACCGGATGAGGTGATCTCCCATGGAGAATGAGACACGCACGCAGCAGGTATCTCGGGATGGGAGCCCAGAGCTGACTCCAGCACCCTCTTTTATTGTTACTAAGGTTTTTACATCACACAGTGTAATCAAAAGACGTATATAGGGGTGGTTACAATGTATCAAATAACAGACACTTTCCAGATGCAAGGCTACTGCAGGTGTTCTTATCAGAGTCTGTCCAAATGGTTGATGAATGCATCCTGTGTCTAGAGCAGTCCGTTTGTTATCTCAAGGACCTTGTGGGAGATGTCCATGGGCATTTGTGCAATTAATCCCACACACATGCCACACTGTAACCGTTTTTAACTGTTATGTAAATTATTTTTTAAAAAAAAAATGTGTACCCACTAGTATTATGTTGGCAACTAAAGAAATAAGAACATTAAACCTGGGCATTAAATACAAACTCTTCTGTTTGTTCTTATCTTGGCACAAAAATAATCCATGAAACCAAGGAAAAGTTAATAAAGGAGACAACTAACCTGAACAGATTGCAATTGTGGTGACTGGATAACTGAAGGTTGGGTGGCTTGAATCACTCCCTGTACGTGGACAGTTTGACCAGAAGGGAACTGCACTACAGTTACAGAGGGAGATCCTCTTCCAGTTGTTGATCCCGCTACAGAAACCTGTTGAGGTAAATAAAGCATATCATGAAAATAGCTTAAGTAGCTAGCTCTCAATATTTGTTATCTGACAAAGTAATCCTTATTCAGTTAGGTTTCCACCTTTAACACAGAACAGTTTGTTTTATAATACAAAAATATATTTTGGCTATACTGGCAATTATGGAATCAAAAAGCATGTGAAATATTATTTGTGTGGTACTTCTGCTTTCCTACTATAGCATTATTCATTAAACATTATCAGAGATGCTATGATAATTAAAAAGAACCTCTTTCCTTCAATCAAAAGAAAATGCAGTCTCACATAAGATGTGATGGGGTAGAATTTTGTCAAGATATAACTGTTTTTGTAACACAGCTATATCATATCTTTCTACAAATTAACTGTAATGTTATTCTTCTGCATTGAAACACTGCAAGATCACATGCCAATTTTAATGAACAGAAGGCTGAGAACCAACAACTTGCCAAAAGACAGCCACAAGCTTCTCAGTTTAATCTCACTTTGAAATAGGGATTTCCTATTCTATTTTAATATTTATTAATATTAATAATTTATTATGATTGTCTCAGCAATACTTTAGAGATGCATGACAATAATTATATCCAAATATTGTCAAAGTGTCAAGCCTCTGTCAGCTCGACACTAAGGGGAGGGTCCATTCCAGTACCAATGGGGCGGCCAAACTGGCCAACACAATGGTGGAATGATACCTGTGGTGCTACGTCTCCTACCAACAGACAGACTGGGTTGACCTGTTACCATTTGCCGAAGTGGCTTATAACAACACGGTCCACAGCAGCACCAGATTTGCTCCTTTCTGAGTGGTTCATGGAATGAAGTTTATCCCAATTCCCAAGTGCCTGCAGGGGACCCCTCCCTGCCAAGCCCAGGACTGGATAGATCGCATACAGGGGGTCTGCGGGATCGCAGAAAGAGCATTACAAAAAGCAGCAGCAGCCTCAAAGTCTCAGGCCAATAAGAAACGGGCACCTCAAAAGCCCTTTCGGGTGGGGGATATGGTGTACCTGTCAACCAAGCACCTGTGCCTGAAAATACCCTGCAAGAAGCTAGGGCCAAAATTCATAGGTCCATTCCAGATTATGTAGGTCATTAACCCAGTCACTGTGTGGCTACAACTACCCTGTCTTTTGGAGAAGGTGCACCTGGTATTCCACTGCAGCTTACTGAAGCCAGTGGAAAGGTCCTCCTTTAAGTCTGTGAAACGGATACCGGTCCTGTCGCAGGGGACCACTATGAGATCCAAGAGGTGTTAGACTCCTGAATCCATCGGGGTTGTTTGCAGTACCTGGTATGGTGGAAGGGGTACCTAGTTATGGATGCATCCTGAGTGGGGGAAGCAGACATAAAAGCCCCCCAGTTGTTGCAGCTCTTCCACTGATGATATTCCTGTAAGTCAGGAGGTCATCCGCCACAGCTCATAATTAATCACATGTTTCTCCTTGCCTTCCAGATGAAGCCCTGTTAGAGGGGGCCGTCTGTCAAGCCTCTGTGGGCTCAACACTAACGGGAGGGGGCAGGGGGACAAGGACAGCGGCTGGGGGCATCCGGATGCAGCGGAGGAGGCAAGCAACATAAACGGCGGTGACAGCCCTTCCCGCTTCCGTTACCTGGACTGTTGAAGGGGGACCCGGTGGAACATGGCTACATGGCAGTTGGCTACGTGGCCGTCCTGCCGAACAGCTGATTGGCGCAGGGAAGCAACGGAGCCGGATGTTTGCAGTGTGTCCTTGCTTAGCTGCTCTTATCAGCGCACACACCCAATGCTGGTTAGGTGGGTGGGGGATAGGGCCAGTTGGGAGATGCATAGGTAGAGCGTTGGGAGGCAATTGCTCCCAGCACTAACTTCATTTGCTGTTTCTGTGACTAAACACATGCCAGAACGTTCTGTGATTAAACCAACCACCTGTGAACCCAACAGCTTGTTTCTTGTTGGTGTGGCAAGGACATCTGACACAAAGTATATGAAACAGTTGACAGCTCAATATGTCAGTAGCCCCTATTTCACTTTTAGTATCAGCCAGATATACTTGACAGCAGCACATAAGAATGCCCCTTTATTATAATTTAATATACCATCATGTTTAAAAAATTAGAACCCATCTCTAAGACATATACTTTTATCTTCCTCCTTTTTTCATTTTGATTTAAAACATGTATTTTGAGGCGGATGAAACTAAAATAAAAACTGTATCCAATGGACACTGATTACAAATTATTTTCTGATCTGTTTAAAAATCCAAAATATTTTTGGGTCTGCCTACATTGCTACTTTAGAAACTATGCTCAGCTACATATTCATTGACACTTGATTGCTGGTAAAAATGAAATGTTTTAATAAAGAAGCATGTATGCAGAAGCTGGTCTTTAAACATGATATGGAAAAAGAACAGCATGAGCTGAATTGGGAGATGAAAATTTATCCCCATAAGGGTTTTCTATAAGCAGGGTGTCATGGCCAAGAAAACTCCTGCCTTCATAGGCAGCAGCTTTGCTACAAAGAGCCTTCAAGGGTGGCCTCATGCCAGAGTAATTGTGTAAGGAAGAAAACTAGCCCATTCCTGTACAACATGCAGTTCAACATGCAGTGGGGTGGCCCACTGACATTTTCTAGTCAATCCACTTCCTCTTGTCCTGGAAAACGTGTTACCAAGCATGTCTTTACACCTCAGGGTCTCAACATCACTGCCAGCTCCTGCACTGCTACCCTTTTGCTAGCCACCAAGCAGTTGATTTGTGTACCAAGCATTCCTTTGTAGCTTAGGAAGATTTTTAATTTATCACTATGCTCCTTTCCCGTGTAAATGTTAGGTTAGACCAGTCTTAGCCCCGGGCTGTTTAAGACTTTATAAGATTCTTTATGTTGATAAGAATTTCTGCTTATAAAAATGAATAGTACTATTGGATTCAGTAAATACTCATTTGAGCAAAATTGACTTATCAAAGGGTAACTCAAAACCTAGAATTAGTCCAGAGAGGTTTTTTTCAACACCAGTATAGCAATAATTTCATATTACTTTTCATGTTATCAATGCATAATAGTATTAAAAAATAAACAGAACATTTCATATTACTTGAGCTATAGTGGAGATCTGATTTTGGCCAATTGGAGATTGCATATTAACAGAATCACTTTCTGTAATAGAGTCTGTTGCACTGCCATCTTGTGGTTCAACTGTTTCCATGGTCATTTGTCTAAAAGCAAGACAATAGAGAGAAAAAATGGTTAAGATATGAAATATTTAATAATCCTTTCACTTTTGCTTTTTTACTTACTTCAATTTACTTTATTGTTACATAAAATATAGCACAATAACACTGTAACTTATAAATGCGCATGAATACAAGAGTCAACCATTTCCATGGATGTGTCCAGTGTATTCTAGCTAACTTGCTTCAACATATTAAGTTGAACTATAACAACCATAGTTTCAATAAGCATTGATCATGACAGCTGTGGATTATGGGAGTCTTGATCAAGCATTTGGACAGAGAAATATGGGAGTTGCATCTATCACATCTGGAGATTAAAGAAAGGTGACTTAAACTTTGCAGAAACTGAGACCTTATTTTTCTTCCCCAGAAGAAACATTTTCCAGGTACAATCTTATAATTGAGGCAGAGATATATTCTTAGAGATGCAGCACAATTTCATCACATTTTTATTGTTGTTCATTGAAGCTTCATTTTAGTTTATAAAATAATTGGTTTATTCTTTGCTAAGCAATTAAGTCCCCTCTTTTGCCAACTATTAAAAATTTCTTGCAGATGTCATACTGCACATTTAGACAAAAAAGTTGATATAATTACAAAATTGGTCTTAAATATTGTAGATATGAATTAGTTGCATTTAGAATATTGCTACCTGTGAGATCCTATTTTTGCTTTTTATTGTATTGATTGTATTAATGGTTTGTTATCTAGAAGCCAAAGCAAACTTTGGCAGCAAACATTTATTTCTGAGAGAAGTTTATAGATGGAGCATCAGTTAATATAGAGGGCTTGGCTCTAACTTAAAAGAGCTGTAGACCCAAAAATGAAAGTATTGTTATTTCTTGTAATCAGGTAGAATCATGAACAAGGTTTTGGCTGTTGTGTGGCCATATACATTTTATATTCTTGTTTTTATTTACATTCTATGCTTGACTTATACTCCTGGCATGTTTTATATTACATTCGAAGGTAGTTATATTTTATATTACATTCAAATGTGGTTATATTTTTTAGTTTTACATTTCCTAAATTTATAGAAAAATTCAACTTTCAAATTATAGAAAATAGTTAAGGTCTGTGGCAACAAACACTGCAGAATGCTAGTTAGCCACCAACTAAAGAATATTTGGTTATCTAATATAGTACTTTCAGCCAAAGACAGATAACATTTCATCCACAAAAATTGTTGTAACTTGTTATGATTCTGGGAATAGTATATATACACAAGCCACACAAGTGATAGGTATTCACTTGAGCTTTTGCAATGTTGTTTGAAATTGTACTGTAAATCATTCCTCTTTGTTTTTCATAGTGGTCTTCATTCTAGTAACTCTCACATATCAGAATTTCATTTGGGCTACGTCTTTGTTAACAACTGTTCATAGTATTTCACCCCACCATTTTTTTTTAATATGGTTGAAGCTTACCTCCACATGTTACAAGTCAAATGTAGCATCTAACGCTGCCAAACTCCAGATGTGCTGGTCTTTTGACTCCCATAATTCCCAGTCAGCATAGTCAATTACTAAATTGGCTGTGAAGTTGTAGGAATTGACAACTTAAGACATAAGATTGTCCATAGTTTTACTGTTGCTTAAATTCATGTGTCAATCTTCATCACTATTTCTCAAAATCTCAAGCACTCTCTATTTTCAATCTATAAAAAAGTTTCATTTGCTTGCTTAATACAAATTAAGTAATTACAAATTACTTAATACAATATGTGAAGCTCAATTTTATATATGAAAAAATGTTTGATATATTATGGAAGCCATTTCACTCTTACAATAAAATAGACATGGGTTTTTTTTGTGTATAAGGCCTATATATTGAGATGCATTCCATTAGAATGGTAGAGTTGATCTCTTCTTGGTACTTGTAGAACTAGATAAATGTATATTGAATATACAAATTCATGCTGTTGTAATTTATTCAGCATCTCCCAGAAAAAGATCCCAACTCCCAAATAAAAGATTAAAAATTACTGCGTAAGTCCAAACCTAATGTATTGCTGAAACTAAGCCCAATATAAAAGAATGAACTTGAGTTAACACATATACTGACATTCACACACACTTCTCTAAATGAGATTGGTAACTAGTGCTATGCTGCATTCTCTTTATCAAAACTATTACTGTAATACAGGACACAAGCCTGCTATGCAGAAGCATCTTCTAGTGATAGCTAAAAATATAATGGCTACCTTATATTAATTCTGGCATGCTGTTTTTTGCTACATTTGCTCATGATTGAATTATTATTTTTTTAAAAAAGTACTTCTTCCTTCTCCAGACCACGCTCTTCTAGTGAATCTTGCAATGAAGTTATGTTCTGTTTGTGATGTCATAACTATTGCTATGGCAACCAACATTCACAGTATTACAAACATAGTACTTAGGGCTCTCTGCAGAAAGGAAAAGGATAGGAATAAAGGAGAACCATTTTTAGTGCTAAATGCAAGAGATTTTAAAAATGTTATAGACTAAAACCTTTTGAAACGAGGAGAAAAAAAATTAACTGAAAACTTAAGACTTTTATGAAAACATCATTTGAAGCACTTTTTAGGAAATGCATGCAACACAGCAATTTCAGTGCATTTTCATCACCAATCCTTTTGGTATATTTGGTAAATAATGCATACTCATTTACCATGTGAGAAAGTACATGCAGAGTTAGTACAGTTACAGAGACAGATCTATGGAACTTTAGTAAAGTCAGTGCTGATCTTACATTCCAACATCCCCATGCAAAGATTAAAATCCTTAAAAATGAATTTTTATTGTGAAAATATACAATTTCTGAATTGGGAAGGAAAAATATTGCCAGTAGAAATCTACATACAACTTTATCTTTTGTAGAAATTATTGTCATGCCTGATAAATAGAATGGGATCGTTTATGATTCAACAAACCTGCTAAATTATGCATGGATATTGCTAGTAAATAAAATAAATATACCTTTACAATTTAATTGTCTAAAAAAATAGGTTTTAATTTTGAGTGACACCTGTTCTTTGGAATAGCATCCTAGTCGACATCTAGTTGGCTCCCACACTGCCTTCTGGAAACTGCTCAAAACACCATCTTGGTTTGGTTAGGTTAATTTAACTTTATTCTGTTTTGGTTAATCTGTAGATTCTTTGTGTATTTTTGTCTGCATGTTGTGTGTTTCTTATTTGTAATCCCCCTGCAACTAACATTACTAAATAGATGGGTCAATTGTAAGCATACATCCTGCAGCAGAATATTTTCACCTGCCTATTTCAGCCAAAGAAATCTCCAATCTTCCTATTAGTTTAAAAAGTCCTTTTCCATGAAGAGCTTCTGGATTTGTAAATCATTCTTTTCATAGAACCCTAGTTGGTATCTTGAGATCACACACCGCCTTTCTTCTCCCGGGAATAGAATTCCGTCTTGGGCCTGGAAGTCTTAAAACTATGCAACTAGTATAATGAGTTAGTTAAATTTGTATTTAAAACTCCAATAAAAAAACAGGCTAACAAACTACTCCCAATTTAGGAACTTAATTTTACTGAACAAGGTATTCTATCATTTGCTAAATGGTCTAAGATGCAGGTGGTAAGAATAGAGCATGTAGATAAGTAGAATATAAAAGTAAATCTTGAAATGTAGTTCTGAAGGATACTTTTAATCACCTTGACTGAAAATTATTACAAACAGATTTCTAGATGAACAGAAGCCTTTCAAATGTAGTCTGCAATGAGATTAGAGGGCTCAGCATCTCTGTGTGGTAGGTACAATTGATTCTTGCTCTTTGTTAGACTATCACACAACTTTTTTAAACAGGGAAACCCTTCTCATTTATTTCAAAATCTGCACAGAAGGTAGTTGCTCTCTTCCTCCAGCTTTACATCTTGCTTGCATTCCTTCGTAGCTCCTTCAGCTTACTTATAAAACACTCACACCAATCCTAGGCAATCCCTTTTCATTTACTGGAACTTACTGCCAAAATTGCAGAGAAACCAAAATTTTATAGTAGTTAACAAAAAAAATACATTAAATGATGACTTGTAGCATTAACAAAGAGAGTTGCATTGAGTTGTATCACATCATTTCTTGAAAATAAAACTAAAATAAAAACTTGCACAAAACAGTGCTAACATATTTTATTTATTAAATTAACCAACATGCTAATAAATGCTTTTTTCTTCAGTTCAGTCCGTCCTAATATATGCAGTACTTTCAACTGCAAGAATGGAGCATTTTTATATCCCCTTACTTTTAAAGCAGTTTAATCCTAAAAGCTACAGATCGGAGTTGTTTAAATCAGGCTGTCTCCAATGAAAATCAAGTTATACAATGAGAACTATGGATTAACACAACTGAAGAGGGCAAACTGAAGCTAACTTGGGGCTATTTCTCACAATCCAGTAGCCAAATGGTTTGTTTGTGGCTTGTATTGTGTAAGTCTAACTGTGGTTAGTTTATGGCTTGTTACATATTGGGCAGTTCAACAAACCAGGTATATTAACAAAATACCGATACAATCAGTTAGTGCTTTGTGCAAACACAGCCAATACCTACTTATCCCCAATTGGTGTCCTCCAAATATGGTGAATCTGCTGGCTAGCCATTTCTTGGGATTTACTTCTCATCTTTTCCCAAGCAATTCAAGGCAATATGCATATCACATGCTTCACTAATTTATCATTGCAACAATTAATGTGAGATAGGAGAGCTGGGAATATAACATACTCGATGAGCTGCTTCGACAGGGATACGGCCCTCCCCACCTTGGGTGAGCCCCCAAAGCAGCATATCGGTGCCAAAGATCAAGAACTTTGTCAGCTCGGCCAGCATTAGAGGAAGTTATGATTTGTTGGCCACATGCTTGGAAGCCACCAGTTTCAGAATGACAATATTGCGCTGCAAAACCATGTTGATACAGAATTAAGGTAGACTGATCACCCAAGCAATTAGAATACGGAAGTGCACTATGCTTTTTAAACACCCTAATTCTATTAAACTCACAGTCTCTAAATGTGGCAAATGTCGCTGCAGATAAGCAGCACACTCCAAAAAGCTAAACTCGTGAATCAGGAAGAACCCTTTTTGCACATGCGCAAATCTTTCTCGACTCGACGAAGTTTTCCCCTCCGCGAAGAGTACGCCAGTCGGATTAAGCTCCGGTACTAAGGCACGCTCCGACCCCTCCCTTTAACCAGCCTCGACTCCTCGCCCGCCTGCCCCTCCCTTCTTCGAGTCCTCGGCACCAGTCGCTTCCCCTGCTCGAGAGCCAACCCTCCGCCGCTGCCTCCAAACGCCAGACCGCCTTGCACACACCCGACGTGTCTCCGCCCCCTCCTCGACTCACCCGAGTACGTGGCGCCCCCGTCACAGGGAAAGCAGGCGGGGAAGAGGGATTGGGCCGGGCGAGGCCGCGCGTCGCCTCACGTCAGTGCTGATGCCGCTGCGCCGTCACTGCAGGGGGCGAGGGAAATGGCGGCCGTCGCCGTCGCTGCCCAGTTTTCCAGGGCCTGCAAGGAATAGGAGGCAGGGTGGGGCTTGCCTCGCCTCGCCCACCCCCGCCGCTCCAGGGCCTCCCTCATTGGTCATTCTTGAGACTCAACCGCTGGAATTCACGCCAACCGTCTTTCAAGCCCTCTCCCATTGGCTAACTACGAGGGGCGGACACGAGATTCATAGCCCAGTTCGTTGCCTTTTAGAATCGAAGCAAATGCTGATCCGAGTAAGGACGAACAGCTGTGTCCGGAGCTGTGCGACTACAACTCCCACAATTCCATGTAGCAGTCATAATGCACAAATATCCCTAAAAATAGCACGAGTGTGAAAACCCCCACAAGACTATTCTTTCATGAGACTGCCCTCCATCGTGGCATGTATGGGAATTAAATTTGGGCTACTACATCCGGCCTGAAAGCTTGATACGGTTCCTGGAGAACTGTGGAGATTGTGGCCTATGCATCTCGATGCTGTCATCTAGTCTAGTGGTCGTCCGGGAATGGTCGTCCGGGCATGTGGAACCCAGTTTCGCTACTCTTCATGGAAGAGAGTGCTCCAGAGTCACTTGGGGGGCTTGGCTGCCCGATAGTTATGCTAAACAAAATATAGTTAGCTACTTCCTAGCATAGTTTATTATTGGTTCTTTGATCACTTCCTTTTGGGAAGTTAGTGACTGGACTTTTATGCTGCCTAAACGCTGGGTTCCCATAGTATTGAGAATTACAGTAGCTAGCAAAGCATGTTTGCTCAAACAGTATAGTTGTTTGATTCAGTGCATCATATTGACTTGGAAAATTTAGGTTAATTCAAGACACATAATATGATTTCAATAAATGTGTGTAGTGATCATACAGTATATTGATTATATGATTATATTAAAGTGGGAAAGAAATAGAATAACATAGAATAAAGAAGAATAAAGTAAAATAATAATAATAATAATGAAAAATCACTAAAAGCAAAAATCACGTGTCTGCATAATCTCTGAAAAGAAAGTTGTGTTAGCCAAAAGCTGTATTAACAGTACGTGAATGACCTAATGCATATTTAGAAACATTGTATAAAAGTAAAAACTGCCTTCATTGTATTCCCATGAGAAATGGAGCTAACGTGTGAGAAACTATCTGAATGTTACACAAAAGTAGATTCCATATACAATGTAAGATTCCATCTATGCTTCCTTTGTTCCTGAGATAAAGAAACCTATAAAGCTTTAGTTTAGACCCTCCCCCTTGTTCAGAAATTTGCTGATTGTTAAATCACTTCTGAACCTTTTGCGCAAAAATAAAGATCTCTCTTTCACCCATGGAATTTCGTAAAAGCCCTTTATTTTTTAAGGCTTTATTTTTCCACAAGATTTATGGCGACTTCTCCGCCCGGACAATTTTAAGGGCTTTTAAGAAAAAGGATTTAACCTTCCAAGACGGATTGCCCTGGTGGGCCCCCCCCTCTCCTAAACGACGACAGCTCCAAAGCCGGCTTCGTAGCTCTTGACTACGAGGAGAACTTGACGGGAGGAAAGGGAATTAACCCATCAGGAAGCATTCCAGTCTGAGGATCCGTGAGGGTGACAGACAGATCTTAAATCAACAAAGGAGTCTGGAAAACGCCTGCAGGCAAGTATTGTAAAACAGGGGAAACCTGATCCCTTTTGGATCGGAAGAGGGGACTGATCACCCCCTAGAAGGCAAAGGTGGCGTCCTTAAGCCTTCAATAGGCAGGATTGTGTGGGAGGTTAAACCATTGTAGCTCATGCTGAGTGATCAATGGTAGTGTATTAGAGAAATGGGTGGGAAAAAGTCAAAAGAGAGCGTTGACCAGACGCCACTCCAGTGCATGTGCGAAGTTCAAAAAGAGTTTTTCTAGGGATTATGGAGATCCAAAACCAAATCCAGCCATGTTAAAAAGATTCTGTGAATCTGAGTGGACTGCCCTGGGCGTAGGGTGGCCAAAAATGGGATGGGCGAATCCCGAACTCGTTGCACGGGTTCATCAAATTGTGACTGGAAATGGTTATTGGGACCAGTACCCCTATGGAAAATCAACATTGCACAGAGACCCAGATGGTTAGCAAAATGTCAGATAGAGTGTGCAAAGATATATTTGGCAAGCCAAAAAGCCAAGCCTCAAACAAAAGCTAAGATTTTCAGCCAGGAAGATAGGGAGGAAATCGCCAGAACACCCCCCTACGTTCCTAGAAGAGAAGAAGGGAGAATAAATCAGAAAATTCCACTCCCTCTGCCTGAAAGAGAAGCCCAATTTCAGCCAGAAGCCGGTGAGGAAGGAAAATTAGCAACAGCTGAATCCCTTCAAGAAACAGATAAAAGCTTGAACAACTTTGAAAGTGAAACCTCAGTTTCTAGCCGCACCAGGAGCAAGTTAGAAATAAAAACAGAAGAAAATATTGCCCCTCTAAGAGAGGTGTTGGTTCCTGGACCAGATAACACTAATATTTCAATGCTACAATATGTTCCGTAACTGTGACAGGGAGGAGGAACGCAAATCAGATCAAAAAGAAAAAAAGAAAGTTGAAATGTTAGCCGTGGCATTGGGAGGAACATGCCTAGGACCCAATCAGTGTGCCATCTGTAAACAAGAAGGACACTGGCAAAGGGAGTGCCCCCAGAGGAATGGCCAACCCAGGGGACAATCTCGCCAGTATGGAAGAGGAAGAGGAAGAGGATTTAGAGGGACTTTCCAGAGAGGCTTCAGAAAGAGCTTCAAAGGAAGAGGGCATCCAGTTTATCCCAATCAGACAGAGGAAAGAGAAGAAAACATGATCGGCTTAGCTGACATGGAATGGGAAGACTGAAGAGGACAGGGTTCTATCGCCCCACCCCCAGAGCCCATTGTTAAAATAAGGGTGGGAGGACAGGTTGTCCCGATGCTAGTTGACACGGGAGCCACCAGATCTGTCCTAAATAAATCCATTGGCAAGCAATCAAATCCTTGTGGTAGCTGTATATTTAAAAATTCGCCAACGTGCTTTAGTCAAGCCCTAGCCCAAGATCTTGCTTATCTGAAGTTAGTCAGACAAGAGGATTGTTGCCTTCAATATGTCGATGATGTCTTAGTAACTGGCCAAAGCAGGGAGGATTGCTTTGAAAACACGTCCAGACTGCTCCAATTGTTACAAGACTGTGGTTATAGAGCATCCAAAAAGAAAGCACAATTAGTTCAAGAGACTGTAATGTATTTAGGCTATGAACTTTCACAAGGACAAAGAACTTTGGGCCCCCAGAGAAAGCAAGCGGTGTTACAGATTCCCATCCCAGAAACAAAACAGGAAGTTAGAGCCTTTTTGGGAATTACAGGCTTCTGTAGAATTTGGATTCCTAACTTCGCTCTCACAGCTAAACCATTGTACCAAGCTTTAAGGGGACCAGAAAAAGAACCTCTTTTGTGGCAAGAGGAACAAACCCAAGCAATGAGACAATTGCAACAGGCTGTCACCACAGCCCCTGCCCTAGGACTACCTGATATATCTAAGCCTTTTTCACTTTATGTGGATGTAAGACAAAATGTAGCTTTAGGGGTCCTTACCCAAAAACAGGGAAGTTGGAACTGCCCTGTCGCTTATCTGTCAAAACACCTGGACATTTCTTCACAAGGCTGGCCCCAATGTTTAAAAATTCTAGCAGCAGTTATGCTATTACTGCAGGAGGCAAACAAGTTAACCTTTTCAGCTCCAGTGACTGTTTACACTAGTCATGCCTTGCAGACAATCATTGACAATAAAGGACATTTATGGATAAGTAATCAACGAATGCATAAAATACAGGCTCTTTTATTAGAAAATCCACAAGTTACACTGCAACAATGTTCAACTTTAAACCCAGCAACTCTAATGCCAATTCCTAATTCAACCAAACCTGTTCATGACTGCATGCAAACAATAGAACTACAATATTCTTGCAGACCTGACCTTACAGACCAACCCTTGCATAATCCAGACTATCAATGGTTTACTGATGGTTCTAGCTTTATGGATAAAGGATGTAGATACTCTGGTTACGCAATAGTTTCTCAAACTTCTATTGTTGAATCAGCACAGTTGCCTAGTCAAGCCAGTTCACAGTTTGCAGAATTATATGCCTTGACCCGTGCATTAGAAGTAGCAGCGGGAAGGACTTTAAATGTATATACAGATAGTAAATATGCATTTTTAACAATACACGCACATGTGGCTATCTACAAAGAGAGAGGATATTTGGATTCCACAGGCAAAGTTATCCAATATGCAACTTTGATTAAAAGACTTATCAAGGCAGCCCAATTGCCATCCAAAGTTGCAATCATCCATTGTCCTGGACATCAAAAAGACTCAAGCCTTATTACCCAGGGCAATAGGAAGGCAGACAAAGAAGCAAAAAGAGCTGCATTAGAAGGTCCCCCTCTCCAATCAGATGTCACAAGGTTCATGTATCTAGGATTTCATCAGATAATGGCCCTGAATTTGTACACCAAATCAATCAGGCTTTAGCCCAAGCATTAGGAATTAAATGGAGATTTCATTGTGCTTTCCGCCCTCAATCGGCTGCTAGAGTGGAAAGATCCCATAGAACAATTAAAACACTTATTACCAAATTTTGTTTGGAAACTCATCTACACTGGCCAGATGTTTTGCCTATGGTTTTGTATGCAATCAGACTGGCCCCCCGCACTAAATTACAACTTAGTCCTTATGAGCTCATGTTTGGCTGTCCTCCTTGCCTGTTTAAACCTGACAGTCAAGGATGGCCCGATTTGGCACATAAGGGGGGAGTAGATCAACAGAAATTGTTACATCAGTTACAGCTTCATAATTTGGCCATTTCAAAATTGCGCCATTATATGATGGAACAACAACCCCCTCTAGTGGTTACAGCAACACATGGGTTCAAGCCTGGAGATAGAGTGTGGGTAAAGCACTGGAAATCAGATCCCTTGAGCCCAAGATGGAAAGGACCGTATACTGTTGTCATGTGTTCTCCTTTGGCAGTGAAAACCCTGGAAGGAAAATCTTGGATCCATTGGAGTAGAGTGAAAGCAGCTGCACCTGCAGATCCGGTGACCTACAAGGTGGACAAGACTGACAAGCCTTTGGTGTTGAAATTTACAAGAAATACAGCAACGGGTTCCCAAGACACGGTGTGATCAACAACCTTGCTGAGACACCCCAGGAAGCTGTCTCTCTACGCACGGTGGAAGATATGAGGATTCTACAGCTCGTAATATTTGTTAATTATTTAATATGCACACACATTCCTACACAAATCAGTACAATGGCTACACGAGAGGTCATAATACAGAAACCCTCTAATAAAGAATTATTGAGTAGCACACACCAAGAAAGAGCAGAAACACAGGGAAACCAAGGTTGTCAAAACTGTATCAAAACTACAAAACAAGGAAACCAGATAACCAAGACTTTGATTTACCATACAGTTAAACCAGAAGGGTGTCAAGATAGTTCTCCTGACTCTTGTACATACAATAGAACTACATATAAATTTTGTAGAAAAGGTATCCAATATCAGTGTTATAACCCGAAGTCTGATCCTGATCGTTGGGCCTTACAAATCAAAACACATAGAACAAGAACTAGCTATAAGGACCAGGCACTCTTAGGGATCTCCCAATGGAAATCCAATCCACACTCCAGTTTTAGCGTCACCTTTGATGTTTGCAAAGCAGCTAATTACTGGACTCCAACATATGGTTGCGGAGGGATCGGTAATATTCACAATTTTATCCCAAAACATAAGTACTTGTGCCCACCAGATGGATGTGCGGTCAAATGTAAGTGGTGGTCATGTATTAAGTGGCATACCCAAGACCCAAAAGAGATAGACCACATCTTGTTTGAAAAGAATGAAACAAAAGCAGATTCCTGTG